GATGCTAAACGTAGGTGCTGCATACTGTGCAGCACTGATCCAGGACGCACTCTAGAGGCCGTCTGGGTGACTTTCACTAGAAGTGTTACTAGGCAACAATGTAAACACTACCTTTTCTCTGGAAAGGCAGGGTTTACATTGAAACGTGTGGAGGAACAGGTTATAGACTCGAGAACAACTAAATTAAGCTGTAGTGGTTCTGGTGACTACAGTGTCCCTTTAAGAATTTTATTTTTGACATTGAAAAGCCTGGCTGCCAACTTTTTTTGCTGGCTCCTTGATTTGAAGCAAATTTGTCACGCCCTGGTCTACACTGTGCATCTTTTATTCACTCATTAGTGTAGGTTATAAATAAAGCCATATCAAAGACTACCTGTGTGTGTATATACGATTTTCTTCTTCTGTAATACAATCACACGCCAGTACAAGCTATGCAGGTCTGCTTTGTATGAGAAAATATAGTGTGAGCCATGAGCTAAAAAGATAAGAGGTTAGGATTGGCACAGTGTCAGACAGGTAACCATAGAAATATATTTTTCTAAGGGCTTTGGAGTGCACTTTTAAATGGTGTGAAACGTTATACAGTGTAGACATTTGAGTGAACACAAAGGGAAAGATTAAGTGGTTAGAAGGTGTGAAGAATTTCAAATGTGATTTTTAGCATATGTTTGTAATGCTGTGCTTAGCTGATCTATTATTATGAGTCCTGGGCCTTTTTTCAGAAGTGTCTCTTTCAAACCTTTTAAACATTAAAAGAAAATATACACAGATAGATGGTGAGATGTATTGGTTCCCTGGGTGATCTGTTTATCCTTTCCACTTTCACCTCCCTTAACCCCTAAAACACACTGACTGCAAATGTTTAATTATATATGGAGCTGGGAAACGTGCAATCTTAATTTTCTCTGATTTCAGTGCATATAGGGCTCCTGAACTAAATCAATCGGAGAGGAAGAACTATACTATCGGCCCATGTGTGAAATGTCAATATTGGTCATCTGTATGTTTTAAAATGTGAATGTTACTATAACTTATTTGGAATGGAAAATGTATTTACAATATGTTAAATGGTTGAGGTAAACAGGATGTTTTGTGCTTATCAGTGGACTAGAATTTTTGTTGATTGTTATTTAAGTCAATAAGATCCAAAATTAAACTTCATTATTTGGTTTCATTTATATACATACTTTTTATTTCCTGACAATATTGAACTCTGCCCATCTATATTTTGCCTGAATTATAATAAAGAAACAATAATGAATTTATATAAAATTATTTCCAGGTTAATCCAATGGAAACATGCAGATAAGCTAGTGTGCATTCATGAATCCTGATGATATGTACAAGCACTGGGCATCTAAAAATGCACCTGGTACAGTTTTTGCAAATAGGTTGTACAGCTCACCAAAGAGGGATCACGATGGGGGACACCATGCAACAAGGATAAGAAAGCATATGTACTGAAAAATGTTTACACTTGACTGACATAAATATTCTATAAGAATTTCCCCCACTTATTTAATTGGTCCATGAACATAAACCCATAAGTAGCCATTCACATACATTGATTTTATTAAACAAACACATACATAAGTAGACACACATACATTCATTTTCTTTTTGTACATACAGTACATAGGCCTGGATTTAATATGTTTTGGATAAGCTTTTCAAATTAATGAACATTTCTGGGAAAAACTTTGAAATTTTAACTTCTTTTTTTTATATTCTATGCAGTTGTCCTATCTTGGAACTCTGAAGAAAAAACATGTTTAGATTAAAAGGGTTAAAAAAATCTCTTGCCTGCAGTCCACTGTAAATGAAGTAGACTCTTTTCATTTTGCAGCCTTCTCTCTAAACTATTGCAGATGCTAAGAGGCTTTAAGCAGCCCTGGATGTTGTTTTGTTCAATAGGTTACATGTGCACCCATGAAGATTCTAAGAGATTAGGAAATTAGCTGAAAACAGCTCCACAGTCTGCTTGGCAAAACAAGAAAGATAGGAAGGTATATTAGTAAAAGTGCAAGAAAAGATTTTTCGATAAGTAGAAAAATCAAAAACTGCTTGAACACATACACTGCTGTATTCTTTTGAAATGGTGAATGACAGTGGGTTCTATTCATAAAGGTAAAAATACACACACACACACATATATATATATACAGTTGTAATCAAAATGATTCAACCCCCGAGGGGGCGGAGCCTGGCCTTGCGAGTGAATGGCAGCATAATCCCTGAGCTCTGCCATGACTTCGCCGAATCTATCAACAACACTTGAGCCCCCAAATGCCCCCAAACCTGCACCCACACCCTGTTATACCCCCACCTACCCTATAACCAAATGAGGGACAGAAGAAAATCTGGCAGTCCGGGCCACGGTTCGAGAAACCTTGACTAACTACTTCAAGGAAAACACCCATCCAGACACTTGCCGGACTACTATATGGGAGGCCCATAAGAGTGTGATCTGTGGGGATCTCATCTCCATAGGAGCGCACAAGAAGAGAGTCGGGGCGGAACAAATACGGAGCATCCTGGACGGGATTGCAATCGTGGAACTACGTCACAAATTAACCTTCAGCGACTTAGACCTACGCGAACTCCTCACGCTTAGGAAGGACCTGGTGACACTCATCACTCAACAACACTTCTCCATGCTACAAAAATCCAGGCGATTCTTTTACGAACATTCCAATAAGTGTGGGCGCCTTTTGGCGAAAATGCTCAAAAAACGTAGAGAGAGGTTCCACATACATAGACTCCATGTAGAGCCCACTCGTCACTCCGAACATTCGCACAACTATTCCACGCCTACTACACAAAGCTCTATAATATCTCTGAAGTTGCGGTACCGGCACTCTCAGCCAGACAGCTTGAGGAGATGGAGGCGTACCTCTCGACCCACATACACAAGACAATCTCACTGGACGTGGCATCCACTCTAGATCAGGAAATCACCATAGAAGAGCTCCAGGGGGCAATTAAGTCCTCCAAAACGGGAAGGACACCTGGCCCGGATGGCCTCCCGTTGCAGTACTACAAAAAATTTAGAGACGTCCTTCTATCACCGCTGACGGCCTCTTTTAACTCGCTCTTACAAGACAGCAGACTTGGAAAGGAATAGCTCATGGCTCATATCACCATTCTACCCAAAGAAGGCAAAGATCCTGAACAATGCGCCAGCTATCAACCGATTTCTTTACTTAACTCCAACTGCAAACTGCTAGCCAAGATACTAGCGACCAGTTTGAAGGCAATCCTCCCATCTCTGATACACCCAGATCAAAGTGGGTTCATACCGGGAAGGGAAGCGAAGGACAACTCCGTTAGGATCCTCAACCTTATGCACTTAGCTACCACTTTGCGCCGTCCCCTGGTCATACTCTCAACAGACGCAGAAAAGGCGTTTGACCGGGTGGACTGGAGATACATGTTTAGCACACTACAGAAGATGAGCTTTAGGGAACCCTTCTGCAAGTGGATCCGGGCTCTTTACCCAGAACCAACGGCTAGAGTGCGTGTGAACGGGTCCTCTCCGCGCCAGTACGAATTACGAATGGGAAGCGGCAGGGATGCCCACTCTCCCCCATACTATTTGTCCTCACGCTGGAGCCTCTTCTATGTGCACTTTGATCCAACCCCTCGATCCATGGAATCCGATTTGTGGGGGTGGAGTATAAGGTCTCGGCCTACGCGGACAACCTTTTGTTCTACATAGAGCAACCGCGAATCTCCCTCCCGAATATTATAGCCGAATTCTAAATTTACGGAAACATTAGCAATTTCAAACTCAATCTAGACAAGTCAGAGGTGCTTAATGTCACGGTTCCAACACGAGATCTAGACAACCTAAAGACACACTTTCCCTTTCACTGGTGCACAGACCGCATCAAATACCTTGGGATCTGGGTCCCTAAGAACTTACAACAGTTGTACCAACTGAACTTCCAACCCATGCTCTCCCGCCTCTCCACGGATATGAAATCATGAACTACACCACATTTTTCATGGACGGGACACATCAATTCCATCGAGATGAATATGCTCCCTCAAATTCTATACTTTTTCCAGACCATCCCGATCGACCTCCCACATACCTTTTTTCTATCCCTTACTTCGGCTCTGACAAAATTCATATGGAAAGTGCGCAGACCACGTATACGACTAGGGCACCTGATGAGGCCAAAGGAAGTAGGGGGACTTAGTCTACCAGACATTGTCGGTTATTACAAAGCCACACATTTGGCAAGAATTGTAGCCTGGCATGAAACCGACTCACAGAGGATCTGGACAACGCTGGAGAGAGATGCTTCGAAGGGAGGTATCCCAGGAGCGGTGTGGCTGCCGGACGACACAGCCAAAAAATTGACACACGAACAACCCTTTATTGGGGCGACTCTGAAGGTTTGGTACCGGACACGCTTTCGGCTCTACCTAACAACACTGACCGGCCCAATGTTCTGGGGAGGGGACAACACATACATCTCTCGGAGCTGTGTAGGGGCCTGCGGGAATTTTTACAAGGCCGCGAACCAACTATAATAGAGCAATTTCGGTACCACCAGCTGATCCACTTTCGAGAGTCGGTTGCCCACCAACTACAGCTTACGAGACCTCTGCTCCCTTTCGAGGAGATTTGCTCGAAAGGGGAAGGCCTCCATCGTAGTATATCAGTCCTCTACACACTCCTGCAGCAGTCGAATGCGGCCCCTCCTATGAAGTACCAGGCGCATTGGGAAGAGGCATTACACACCCCGTATATCCACCTGAATGGGACAAGATGGCCTTGTGCACGGCCCTCAGCTCACGATGTGCCGAATATCAGGAAATCAACTACAAAATACTTACGACACTAGTACGACACTCCATAGAAGATCCATAAATATCAACCGCAAACCCCTGAACACTGCTGGAGATGCGGGACGGAGGTGGGCACTCTCCTTCACATTTTCTGGGCATGCCCACTCATAAAACTGTACTGGGAACAAATATACGAGGCAATGCGGAAGGTGGCTGAGGAGGAGGTTGCCTTCCACCCGGCAGATATCCTACTCAACAGAACAGACCTATCCATATCGAGGTATAAGAAAATGGTGTCCCGACACCTCCTAACAGCAGCAAAATTGCTGATCCCAACAGAAACAGCCGCCAACGTTCCAAGACTGGCTCTAGAGAGTGGAAAAGATCAGACTAGTGGAAGCCAAAATAGCGGCAGTAAGTGGAAGGCTGGAGAAACACGAAGAGATTTGGAGGACGTGGACGTACTATCTGTGCAACCGGGACGAGTCTGGAAACCAACCCGCCGGGTAATGGGAGATGTGGAGGACCTGGGATGATGGGCGGGGTCGGCCCGCAGGACCGGGGCCGGGCATTCCAACCCAGCCTGTTCCTCACCCCCTTCCTTTCTCTCTATCACTAATTTCACTGTGCCTCTCCCTCTCCCCTCTATCTCTTCCTTCACGTACGTACATACAGTGGAACTTACCTAATAGGGTACATCCGCCTTTTCGATATCTCAATCCATGGCTGACACTCTGATAGTGACAATCCGACCATTGGTACCAGCACGGCATCTCACTCCTCCTTCAGGTGCCTAATGTACAGGGTGCGAGGTACGCCTCGGACACATAGTGGGGACTCTGTCTAAGGGTGCGTAAATTGGAGGCAAACATACAATGCACGAACGGGTTAGACAGATACACCCCCCAGGGGCATATGATATAGGACAGACAATAGGTAGAGAGAACAGACGAGTTGATACGGAAGAAGACGGGCTACCCACATGACCCGCACTACACCTGGACACCTGACACATGCTACAAACAAACACAGGGAAAAGGCAGGGGGAGCCCTGGGATGTAGGACAGAGACACAGAGGCTGAAATATAGGACTGTAACACCTCCATACCCCCTAGACCCTCCAAAGGAGACGCAGTAAACCTTAGCGAATTAGACTGCAAAATGAAGTCCAACCACCAACGCACGTAAATACCCAGCCGCCTAGCCCCTAATGTGTATGCTTAGATGGGGGTAGCAGCCTGAAGGATGTATTCACTCAAACTTAGGTACCTTAATGTGTTGTTGATATGCTATTCTATTTCTACTTTCTGTACCACTTAATACTTTGAAAAATATTCAAATAAACAAAGATTGACAAAAAAAAAACAGACCCAGTGTATATTATTTCATTAATTTAGATATTTATTTTTGCCTGCTGTCTGCACAAATAATCTATAATATAATGTATTTTTACATTTAAATTGCAGTTGTGTTAATTTTGTCTTTGATAAATATCCACTCCAAATAGAATTATCACACTGGGTGCAAATCACTGAGTTGCCACCCAAATTGCCTAGTGAATTCTAATATCGGGTCAGATAAACAAATTTTCATTCCATTTTGCTATTGAATTCTGAATATAGTGAACAAGGCTGATAAAGTTTATAATATAGCTGGCAAACTATATTTTCCTTTTTAGTACAAAAATTCTAACTTATATACCGCCATATTTTACCCTATTATTATTTGTAAATGTAACTATATTTCACTACTTTTATAATGTAATTTTATTTGAACAAGGAATTAATCAGATCCTTCATTTGTTTTCTGGAAATGTAAAATTCATAAGATTCCAAACTGGTATATTTATTTTACTTTTTGAACAAAATATGTTAGTAAATGTTTATAAAAATAAATATTGAAAATAAAGACTTGAAAAAACTGAGCATATGGTACCTTACAACCTAACAACCTACCACACTAGTCTGACTATGACATTGTAGTAACTTTTACATGCGTCAGAAAAACCTGTAGAATTTGTTGATGCTATTTAAATAAATTCAGTAATCATTCATAGCTCATGTCTAGAGTAAATTGCCGCCATATAACATTTGCATACAGTGCTCTCTGCAAGCAGCAGACACAAAAATGCTCAAAGGAGCTGATAACTGTAGAAACAATTAAATTACTTTTTATATATTCTGGTTCATGAATTTTAACCAAAGGTTTCTTGAATTCTCTCCAACAAACAGAAGAAAGGGATGTGCATTAAGAACGTTCTCTGAAAGGTGAGATTATTATAACCCATGCTGTTCACACATTGGTATCTGCTTCCATCATTCTTGGCCGTGCTTTGTATAACTTGAAATGTGCTACAGGCCGGAGAAAAAGCCCTCAATGCTGGATCCAGACATTCTGTCTTCTGGTGCATAATCGTCATCTGGAGAAAAATGGCTCAGCTTCACCATAGCTCCATGCCAAGAGACACAGCATCTTTGGCTGGTGCTCACATATAATTCACCTTCATATCAGTTTTTTTCAGCAGTTTATACCTTATTTTTATACTTTTCCCTGAATAATATCTATCTGACTTTATAATTAAGAATTATTTTAGAATATTTTGCCAGATACAGATACATAGACATTTATTTGTCAATGCTCATATAAATCAACACCCTAATAATAATAGCTCTTGTGTCTTGTGAGATTCTGAGATGTTCTTGTTGCAATGCCTTTGTGAAGTTAAGTCAGGGCACACTAGGCTATCAAAACCAAGTTCCTATTAAAATTGTTTTGTTATTGATAAATAGGGATGTCCCGAATGGTTCGGCGAACATAAACATAAACTTTGACCCTGTACCTCACAGTCAGCAGACACATTCCAGCCAATCAGCAGCAGACCCTCCCTCCCAGACCCTCCCCCCTCCTGGACAGCTCACTAAGAATGCAGCTTCACAATGAATGTAAAATGGATGCTGTCCAGGAGGTGGGAGGGTCTGGGAGGGAGGGTCTGCTGCTGATTGGCTGGAATGTGTCTGCTGACTGTGAGGTACAGGGTCAAAGTTTATGTTTATGTTCGCCGTCTGTGGCGAACCGTTCATAGAACTGTTCGGCGAACCGTTCGGGACATCACTATTGATAAATGTATATGAATTCCTGTTAAGTCTTTTTAACAAGTGCTTCCTTATGTTATGATGTCGAATGTATGGAATTGGAACTGGATATACATTATAATTGTTTCACGATTTTGAAGAAGATGTTTTGCCGTCAGTTAGAGAGATGGGCACTATGCATTTTTCAAAAATAAATATTGTAACCATGTTGATTTTTAACAGATTCCCTTCAAAAAACATCAATGTGAGCTGACAATTCATTATGCCTGCAGTTAATTATTTAGGAGTTCCACAAAATAGCCCCTTTGATGTCAAACAAAAAGAAAACCGTTTGGGGGTTATTCACTAAAGTCCAAATGCCCCCTGTACCTGGGCAGATTATAAAATATCTTTAATTTAACAGGGAAACCCATTTCACAGGCAGAACAAAATATCTTAAACAAAGGATTAACATTTGTACCGACGCAACCATTAAATAAGTTTGATATGTTTATAGACCTGAATAGGTACAAAAGACAATTATGCCTAAAAAAATGTTTTATGAGAACAGAACCACCGATACATCAAACAATCATTTCAAAGTATATTCATACGGATCTAAAAGAGAAATCGACCTTTTTTCCTAATAATTTTATATCTAAAGAAATGATCACTTTTGAAGAATCAGTTATGCGGGATATAAACCAAATTAAAACTAAAAATAAGAAATACATGAATTTAAATAAAGGGGAATGGATAGCTTTGAAAGCATTACAGAAAGACACTAATAGGGTCATTAAACCAGCAGATAAGGGAGGTGGAATTGTTATTATGAACACAGATGATTATGTGAAAGAAGGTTTGAGACTAATAGAAGACAAAACAACATATCTCAAATTATCTGGTGACCCCGCAACTGACATTAGAAAGAAATTCGATAATTTGTTGTTAAAAGGAAAATACATAGAAATATTAAACGAAAAAGAATATAAATATTTAAATATTTCCAAACCAAAAATTCCAGTTTTTTATCATCTCCCTAAAATCCATAAAAACTTAACAAACCCCCCAGGGAGACCGATAGTCTCAGGAATAAATTCCATATCAAGCAGACTATCGGAATATTTGGACAAATGTCTACAACCAATAGTTCAAAAAACTAAAAATTACCTTAGAGATACCTTGAATGTTATACAGATACTACAAAATATAGAGTGGGAATCTGACTACATACTAGTGACAGCAGACGTCAGTTCCCTCTACACTATCATCTCACACACAAAAGGTCTAGAGGTGGTGGAATTTTTTATTAGAGAAGATAAAAATTATCCAGAGGAACAAATCACCTTTATTTTGGAAGGAATAGAGCTCATCCTCCATTTTTGGTTCGAGAATGATTTTTTTCTACAGAAAGTCGGTACTGCTATGGGGACCAGGTTCGCTCCAAGTTATGCCAATTTATTTATGGCATACTGGGAAACCAAATATATAAATAACAATATCGACTGGGGAGCGAACCTGGTCTCCTATAAAAGATATATAGACGATATATTTTTCATCTGGAAAGGGTCAGAGGAACATCTTAAATAATTTTTAACATTCTTAAACACAAATGATTGGGGGATTGTATTAACTACTGAATACAGCACAGACAGTGTTAATTTTTTGGACTTAACTATTTTTATAGAGGACAATCGTATAAAAACTAAAACTTATTTCAAATCGGTTGATGTGAATAATTATATCTACCTCAATAGCTGTCACTTCTCTCCATGGTTAAAAAACATCCCGAAAGCCCAACTAATGAGAATACGTAGAAATTGTACTGATAACAATACTTTTGAAACCCAAGCCATTAGGATTAAAAAAGACTTTATGGAAAGAGGATATGAGGAAACCTCCCTTATGAACACTATAAAACAAGTAAAAACTATGGATAGATCATCTTTACTAAAATATAAATGTAGAGACAAAAGAGATGACAATATTTTAACTTTTATTTGCGATTTTAACCAAGAAAGTTATAAAATTAAACAAATAATAAACAAACACTGGCCCATATTACGTAATGATCCCATGCTATACTCCATACTACCGGAGAAACCTAAACTTGTATATAGAGGAGCCCCCAATTTAAAACAAAAATTAGTCCACAATCATATAAAGAACAACGTACCCACTCCCTTCTTTCATAAAGAAGGCTTTTTTGGTTGCGGGCAATGCTTGGCCTGTAGGAATACAAAAAGCGTTAAAAGACATATAACCGAATTTTATGACCCAAAAGGGGAAACTAAATATAAAATACAACAAATGATTGCATGTTTCTCGAAAAGAGTCATATATATATTGAAATGTTCATGCAATCTCTTTTATGTAGGCAGAACAAAGCGCCCTTTACAGACAAGGATAAATGAACATATCCGAAACATAAAAAAAAGGTTTTGATAAACATAGCGTCTCGGAAC